CGGTGCTGCAGAGGCTGCTGGCGGCTCTACAGCGCTGTGCTCAACCACCTGCGCCACCAGGGGAGGCCCTGACTTTGAATAAACTATGTAGAATTTGAGGGGGCCAGATTTCTACAATGGCCTCAATCTCCGCATCTTGACCTTCAGGTCTGTGCTCCTGACACCTGCTACAGCAGTCTGACACCTGTCTGTGCCTGTTGCTCTGTGGTCTGGGCATGGCCCTAAAGATCTCAGTTCCCAGAGCTGGGTGAATGGCTTTTAGTGCCTTCTACTGCCACCTCCTGCTCTTGGCATTGCATGACCAAGGTTTCTGATCTTGTGGCACCTGTTTTCCAGTTTTTCTATCCTCATCCTCCATCAGGGACCAGAAGATGAGCAGCCCCAGGGCAGGATTCAAACAGGGGGAGCTGCCAACTGAGGGGGAGGGTGAGTCACAGCAGAGAGGAAGGTGCCAGAGCAGTAAAAGGGCAGATTCTGTGAGGGAAAATCATGAACAGAACATCAGTCAGTCATTCCTCAGTTGAAAGAGTCAGGTTTAAGTAGAGCTCAAAAAGGTGAGACTTGAAGGTGAAATCAAGAAATATTACCCCTTTACCATGAGATACCATCTTACACCAGTGAGAATGGCACATATTAAAAAAACTAGCAACAACAAATGTTGGCGAGGATGTGGAGAAAAAGGAACTCTCCTGCACTGCTGGTGGGAGTGCAAACTGGTCCAACCACTATGGAGAGCTGTGTGGAGATTTCTGGGCCAACTAAACAGAGAGCTTCCATATGATCCAGCAATTCCACTCCTAGGTATTTACCCAAAGGACACAGAAACATCCATTCCAAAGAGCACCTGCACCCCTATGTTTATAGCAGCACTGTTTACAATAGCTAAGCTTTGGAAACAACCCAAATGCCCAAAAATAGATGACTGGATCAAGAAGATGTGGTACATATACACCATGGAATATTACTCAGCATTCAAAACAGATAAACACATGCAATTTGCAGCAACATGGATGGCACTGGAAGGGATCATGCTCAGCGAAATAAGCCAGAAAGAAAAAGAAAAATACCGGCTGGTCTCACTCATAGCAGGAATCTAGAAAACTTAAATAAGGGACCAGGAAAATGAATAACTATAAGAAAGTGAAAATCAAAATCAACAAAAAACTATGAACCAGAGACACTTTTTGGGGGTGGGGGGCGGGAGGGGAGGGATTGGGGTCAAAATGGGGGGGTTGAAATTGTATGGGGAATATAAAAATAAAATTTATTAAAAAAAAAAATTTTTTACCCCTTTAAAGGAAAGTCCCAAAAACTAAGACCAAAGCTGTCTCCTTTCTTTGAAAATGGAGACAAATATGCATGAACAGTTGATGTTTCTTAAGACTACATGGGCTGTTATTTTATTTTTATTTTTTTAAGATTTATTTATTTATGCATACAAGAGCTGGGATGTAGGCCAGAGGTGTGGGGGGCGGTGGTGAGAGGATTCACCAGAGACAGAGTGGGAAGCAGAACAGGCAGACTGAAATACACTGCTGAGGCAGAGGGGAGCAGTGGGCGAGCCAGGAGAGGTCTGCGTGCCATGTGGGTCACCACATGGCTGATATTGAACACCTGCCGCGGTAGCTGCAGATTGCTTCACAGTCCCTATGCTTAAACCTTTGCGCCACAAGGGAGGCCCCAGGCTGTTATTGTAAATGACTTTTTTTGTTGTTATTATGTAGGTAAAACAGGTTCATAACAATATCTCTAAAGTGCAGGAAATATTGAGTAAGAGAAAAACTATTTCCCTCAGTGACACCTACCTGACCTGAGCTGTCAACTCTGTAGATGTTAACTGTGGACATTTTAGTGTGGTGACACCGCCTGAGGAGAGCTGTCACCTACTCCCCTAAATCATATACAGTGCTGTAAACTGTGGATACCTTAAAAAAGTACAGAAGAAGGCCCTCCCTGGTGGCACAAGGGCTAACTCTCAGCACTATGAAGCTATATGCAGCCACTGCAACATGAGTTCGATCCCCAGCCAGGGAGCTAAACCACATGGCATGGCAGACCTCTCCTGTCTCGCCCTCTGCTCCCCTCAGCAGTGGATTTCAGTTTGCCTGCCTGTTCTGTTCCCTACTCTGTCTCTGTTGAATCCTCTCACCTCCCATGCCTCAGGTCTACACCCCAACTCTTGTGTGCATAAATAAATAAATGTTTAAAAAAGTTACAAAAAAAGATGTAGTTTTTCTTATGAAAAATAGAATGAAAATCTTTCCATTACTTCAAAAACCCAAATGAACACTTACTACCTAGATTTACCAAAGCTATGGTAGAGTATCTTGATAGTTCCACAAAGTAGGATCTGGAAAAGAAAAAACAAATATTTTGGGGCCTCCCCGGTGGCACAGTGGGTTGAGCACAGCACTGTGAAGCTGTCCACAGCCTCTGCAGCACCGGCTCAATTCCCAGCCGGCCAGGGGGATACCCACATGGCGCGGGAGACCTCCACTGTCTCTCCCACTGCTGCCCTCAGCAGTGCTTTCCTTCCATCTGCCTGTTCTGCTCCACACTCTGTCTCTGGTAAATTCTCTCACCCTCCCGGGCTTCTGGCCTGTATCTCAGTTCTTGTATAAATAAATAAATAAATCTTCAAAAAAAAATTCCTTATTTGAAAAAAAGAAAAAACAAATATTTTGTTATTGCCCATGTGTAGGATGCATAAGTATGTAAGATTTATATTTTTCATTAAGATTGAGATTTTATTATATGCGTTCATTGTTCTGTTTCTCCCTTGATTTTTTTTAAAGATTTATTTATACATACAAGAACTGGGGTTCAGGCAGGAGGTACAGGGGGTGAGAGAATTCACCAGAGACAGAGTGGGGAGCAGAAAAGGTGGATCTACTGAAATCCACTGCTGAGGGGAGCAGCGTGAGTCGGGAGAGGTCTCCTGCGCCATGTGGGTAGCTCCCTGGCCAGGGATCAAACTGGTGCTTCAGTAACTGTGGATAGCTTCATAGTACTAACGCTTAACCCCTTGGGCCACCAGGGAGGCCCCTGTTTCTCACTTGATCTTATGCTGTGAGTGATGGAGGATGAGGATAGAAAAATTGGAAAGCAGGTGCCACAAGATCAGAAACCTTGGTCACACAATGCCAAGAGCAGGAGTGGGGGTAGAAGGCACTGACTGAGATCCTTCAGGCCATGCCCAGACCACAGAGCACAGGCACAGACAGGTGTCAGACTGCTGTAGCAGGTGTCAGGAGCACAGACCTGAAGGTGAAGATGGGGAGGTCGAGGCCATTGTAGAAACCTGGCCATTGTAGAAATTCTGCATAGTTTATTCAAAGTCAACAACAAACAAACCACTCCATGAAGGAGTGAGCCCCTCCCAAAGAGAAGACTCTATCAGTGCAATGTTGGCGGTGGCACCACGCCAGCAGTTCTTCTGCCTACCTTTGCCTATGCAGCTCCTTTTGCCAACTCTCTGTCCCTCTGCAGGGCAGCAGCTTCCCACCTGCTGGTGACCTGTAGCCTGTACTGACCTCCCTCAGCCGGGGCAGCTCTCCTCAAGGACTGCAACCATGCAGACCTTTGTCTTTCTCTCCCTCCTATAATTAACCTGCCCTTTTAGATATGACTAAGTCTCTGTGCCATGGAGAAACTTGCCTGGGAAATCACCAGTGCTGGTGAAACGCGTGCTCTGGTTAAATCTTTCCCAGTGTGAACACAAGGACCCCACTCTCCGAACCCAACAACTACAATTCAAAACGACATTATCCCTGAGGCCCGTCCTCCCCTGGGGGCTGCACTGGGGGCTCCGTGGATGACACAGGCTGGAAGACAGCAGGACAGGGAGATGCAGAGGGAGCAGAAGGGACATGCCTGCCCTTCCTGCATCCCCAGGGGTGCCAGTCTCCCCGCATCCTCACATGTCCCACCCCAGGAGCTCATCCCGGGTGACTGTCCTGAACCCAGGAGCCACCTGCTCCCTCTGACCTGCTTCTGCCAGGTGAGCACAGGCCGGGGCCTTGGGGGAAGAATCTGTTCTCTCAGAGGGTCTCTCCCCAGGGAGCCCCGACACTGTAGCAGCCCCTCCTGCTTGGGGGGGCCTGTCACGTGATGTTCTTACTTGTTAGTGTCTCTCTCACGGCTCTGGATCCCGAGGGCAGGGGTGCTCTGTGCATGGGAGTGTTGGGATGTAGAAGAGACTTGACCTGGGAAATGAGGGTCCTTCCCAGGAGGCTGAGGTCCTGTGGCCCCACCTAGGGCAGGGGCCTCTCGGGCCCACCCCTCCTCCTGGCCTTCCTGTGCTCGCCTCTGTGTTCCTGACATCAGCCCTGAGCTTTTAGGGTCCTCAACAGGCCATCTATGGTGTGGAGACAAATCCTCACTGATTAGCAACTAAAGAGAGATGCAGTGGCTGGCTTCATACACTGTGAATCAGCAGGGGGAAAGAATTTGGTTGAACCCAAGGCCATCCTCTTTGGTCCTCAAGTGCTCAGAAACTGCCCTTCCTGGAATAGTTCTGACTCCACCCCAGTAAGGACCAGAGCCTCTTGCTTGTCTTATGCATTTTCCTTGCCTCAGGGAGTTTCCCTGAGCAGATAGAGAAGCAGCCGGAAGTTGGGCCCTTGGGCCTGTGTTGAAATTCATCTCCTGGGTGCTCAGCTCTGGGTGGCCCAGAACACCTGAGTGAGGGTCCCATTTTATGAGTCTTTACTGAGCACCTGAAGCCTCCACAGTGGAGCCAGGACCCCCAAAGCTCACCAGCTGACTCCTTTGATCCAGGAGTTACCAGCTGACAGGTGTATGTGAGCCTGAGGTGTCCCAGGCTAAAGCGCAGGGCTGCACACGTTCAGAGACCCTGATCATCCTAGATCCTTAGATGGCAACTGGGAGGAAGGCCTCAGGTCAGCGAGGCCCAGAGGCCCTGTGGGGGAGTAAGGAATCCCAGGATATTAAAAGGAGCCCCAGAGCAGGCAGCCCCACATCTCTCCCCCTGCACCGCTATGGCCTTCCTCTGGCTTCTCTCCTGCATCACCCTCGTCGGGGCCGCCTTTGGTGAGTGTGGTAGGGTCTGAGGGACCAGCCATGCCTGGGAGAGATTGGGGAGGAGGACTCAGCCCCGATGGACTCTGCCTGGCCCCATCACAAGGGACTCGCTCAGTTTAGGGAGGACCAGGCACCAGGTGAGGGGAGCTCTGAGTTCCCTCCCTGCACACTGGGCTTCAGGACCAGACAGGCGACCTGATTTGCAGGAGGAGAGAGAGGGGTGCTTCTAGGGCTTTCTGAGCCCTCAATGCTCTGCCAGGCCTCAGTAAGAAGCATCTGGGCTCCTCAGAGAACAGAGGCCCTAGAGGAGGCTCATGTGGGGTTGTGGGCACAAGGGCTGTGAGGGGTTTATTAGTGCCAAGCACTTACTCAGTGCTTTGTTGTCTGTTAAAGTAATAATATAAATAATAATAATAATAATAATAATAATAATAATAATACAACCAAGTATCTTTCTCAGGATTTAGCAAATATCACCTTTCCCTACTTGCTGTAGGGATTCTCTGACACCCACACTGGGCTCAGCAGCTCCCTGCTCCCCCTCTCCTGGGAAGGGGCCTCTGCTGAGCCCCTGCCTGTCACTTCTGTGCAGCTTCACACACTCACTCCCTGTTTATAACCAGAACCAGGGCTCAGTGGGGGAAGCTCCTCCCTGTATTTCCTGCCCGTCCCTGTCACACCTGCTGGCCCCACTCCTGTGAGATTTCAGCTCCTCCCTGCACAGGGGACCCGGCCCCCCACTCCATTACTATGAAGCCTCTGCAGGGTGAGCCCCTCACAGCTCCTGCTGGTGGTTTTTCTGTTCTTATAAGAAAAGATGAGGAGACGACATGTTTGGAGACACCAGCCTGAGGGAGTGGCCGGGCCATGTCCCTGTCCCCAGACAGCGTCAGAAGCTGCCTAGAGCAAGGCCTGGGGGACCCTGGGGGCGGCCTGGCTGGTGGGAGGGGCTGGCCCTGCCCCCCTTTCTCCCTGTGGCCAAGTTCTCACACCCCTGGGAGCTGCTGAGGATCCTGTGTCCTGACCCAGCAAATGTGTCTGCACATGTCAAGGGCCCTGCGTGTCCTCCTTGCTCTGGACAGTCTCATCCTGTTTTCTGTTTCCCTGATGTGTCTTTATGGTGGGGATCAAGGTCATGTCTTATTCAATAATTAGAAGCTTCAGTGGATGCAATGAAGAGTTGTTGAAATGCCAGCAGAGTCCAGCAGTGTGAATGGGGATGGTCACATCTGTCAGGAAAGGAGAGAGGGGTGATTTCCCATGGGTTTGGGGTTCTCTGTTTTTGAGCCCACACCTTCTGCCCACACCAATCCCTTTGGCAAGCATTGCCTGTGAGGGCAGCAGTGTTTGCTCCCATTTCTGGGGTGAAATGAGCCTGGGAGAGTCAGCGGGGGCTGAGGTCTCCAGAAGGTAGCGGGGGGCAGGGAGGCCTGATTCCTCAGCCTGTTTCTGCTCCTCTGGGCAGGGTGACCCGGATGGAGCTGCCTGTCCCTCTGCATCCCTGGAGGGGTGACTGGGGACAGCAATCTGTGTTTGTGGAGCCTCCAACCTGGGACTGGGGTGCCTGGGAATGTTTCCTGGAGTAGGGGAGTGTGAGGTGGGAGCAGTAATAGCTGAGCTGGAAAGCAGATCTCAGACCGAGTGTGTCCTCAGCCCTTCTTCATCCCCCTCTCCCCTCCAGGCTGTGGGGTCCCTGCCATTCCCCCAGTTGTGAGTGGGGTACAGAGGATCGTCAATGGGAAAGCAGCTGTCCCTGGCTCCTGGCCATGGCAGGTGTCTCTGCAGGTGAGGGGAGTCTGCACCTAGTGGGGTCACCCTGCAGTAGGGGTCCAGGGAGTGGACTTCTGTCTGGGGGTGTGGTGTGTTCTGCCCACACTGACTCTCTTCTTCCTCCAGGACAGCAACGGCTTCCACTACTGTGGGGGGTCCCTAGTCAACGAGTCCTGGGTGGTCACTGCCGCCCACTGTGAAGTCAGGTGAGGCCCAGGGAGGTTTCAAAAGTGGGGGTGGGGGAGCAGGCGTGACCTCCTTCCTCACTCCATCTGCCTCCTCTAGCACATCCGACACAGTTGTGGCTGGAATGTTTAACAGGAGAGCAAAGAAAAAGAAGAATGTGCAGGTCCTGAGGATTGCTCAGGTACGCCGGGCTGGGGGTTGGGGCAGGACGTGGAAGAGACACGAGGCAGCAGATGGGCCTCAGAGACTCCCTCCGGCGCCCCTGGTGTGTCCTCTGATTCCCACCAGGAAGGTTGTCTCGTCAAACCTGCAGATCCCTGGTGGATCCCACAGCTCACCTCCTCCCCCTGACCTCACCCACAGGTGTTTAACCACCCCAGTTTTAACAACGACACCGGTCACAACGACATCGCCCTGGTGAAGCTGGCCACGCCCGCCCGCTTCTCCAGCGTCGTGTCCCCCGTGTGCCTGCCCAGTGCTCAGGACAACTTCACCACCGGGTCCCTGTGTGTCACCACGGGCTGGGGCAAGACTGATTCCAAGGGTGAGTGACCTTGACCTGCGACCCAGGGGGAGGGTCTGGTCTACCTGTGCAGCAGGAGGGGCCCATGTAACTCTGCTCTTTGAGTTTATGACAACGGACAGTGTCATAAATGTTTCCGCTGTGTTATTTACAACCCACTTAGAGAAAACCCACCCAAATGAATGGACCCGAGGTCCATGATGGCCTTGCAGGGTCAGGTTCTGAGACACAGCTCAGTCCCAGCAGGCCCCGCCCCACTCACCACCTGCACCTGTCCACAGTGACCCCAGCAGCGCTGAAGTCCCCCAGGCCTCAGGGACTGGAGTTGGGGCCTCCTTCCAGACCTGGGCGGGGTTCAGGTATCCAGAGGTATCCAGGGTGTGGTCAGGGACCCGAGAGTCCAGCCTGGCGCCCCTCCCCGGGGCTGCCCCTGTGTGATGGTCTCCTCCAGCGTCCTGCGTCCTGCCCAGGCCAGGGCTACCCGGCTGGTCCTTCCCCAGAGCAGGCTGGGCAGGCAGGGCTGGTTTCACCAACTGTGCTTGCGGCAAATTTAGCACCAACTGCAGTGAAATCAGAAGGCGGGTACCCCTGAGATTTCTAAGGTTTAAGGGATTACAGGCCTTGGATTCCAGCACCCTGATAATAGTGATGGAAGAGGGGGATCAAGGAGCACAGCATTCTTGGATATTGTCCTCTCCTCCCAGGATGGGCTAGAGGCTGAGGTCCTGACCCCCTCCCGGCCTCTCTGTTGTTCCAGGCATGGCCTCCATCAAGCTGCAGCAGGCCACCATGCCCCTCCTGTCCAATGCCGAGTGTGAGAAGTCCTGGGGCAGCGACATCACAGATCTCGTGGTCTGTGCTGGGGCCAACAGTGTCACCTCCTGCATGGTATGACCCCTTATCCATGTGATCCCCCCTCCCCAATCAGGCTCAAGGCCCTTCCTAGCCCATGATCCCTTTAAGCTCAGTCCTTGTCTGATCCCCGGGGGAGCCAGGACACACGCCCAGCACATGACTGGCCCTGACCATGATGGGGGTGCTGTCCAGCGGATTTGCTCTCCCTGAGCTAGGTTTTCCAGCCCACTTATAAACACAGCCCCAGCCCCCTGGGATAGGTGCAAAACTGGGTGCTCCTTGAGGAGATGGAAATTTGTAAACATTACTGTATAAGCATTTTGTTTCTTGGCAATACCTGTCTGAGCCAGGAGGGGGTGCACAAGGATCCAGGACCCCTTTCAGACTTGCAGACAGGTGCTTCTCCTCCCACAGGGTGACTCTGGTGGCCCCCTGGTCTGCCAGAAGGATGGAGCCTGGAACCTGGTGGGCGTCGTGTCCTTTGTCACTACTACCTGCAGCACCGATATTCCTACCGTTTGCTCCCGGGTCACAGAGTTAAGGCCCTGGATTGAGGATATTCTCACTCAAAACTAAACCCTGGTACCATCTATCTCGAGTTTCCCTAATAAAAGCCTCTGCACAGAAGCCCTGACTGCTTGTGTGTCTGTGACCTGGGGGCGGTGGCTGCAGTGTCCCTGCCACCCACCAGGGGGCGGCGTGACCCTCCCTTTCCAGGCTGCAGAGCCCCAGCAGCCCCTGTTTCTCAGGGAGCTGAGACCTTTGGGTCTGGCCCTCCCTGCTCATTTCTCCTCTGGTTTCAGCTGGCTTGGCCCAAGGAGCTTTGTGGAGGGCAGGAGTGCTCCAGGCCAGGCCACCTCCTCCCAGTAGGGTGGGTCCTGGGACCCGAGGGCCACCCAAGCAGGCCTGTCCCTCCTCACATGCTCCAGACACCTTTCTCTGCCTGTGCCCCCTGCACCTCCACCCAGCCCATCCATGCAGTCCCCACCCTTCCTGCCTCTACCCAGGTCCTGCTCACTCACTCTGAACTCACTAGCTGGGAAATCTTCCTTCCAGTCACACTGGCTGAACCACTGTCTTTTCAGGTCCCCTGTCCTCTGTTTTTTTGTTTTTCTTTTTCTGGGATTCAGCAAGTGCATCTAGAGATCATTTCACTAAGGTACATCCCTTTGGCCAGGCTGAAGGTGGCTGCACGCCTACATCAGGAGGTGCCAGGGCTGGTTTCTCTCTGACAGACCTGACATCTGCACCATCAACTCTTGGGTGACTTGTACAATGGTGATAACTTCTAACTTTCTCATTTCCCTGGAATCCTTTCCTAGACATGCCTCCTCATCTGTCATTCTATTTCCTGGTGGCACTGTGCATCTAGAACATGCAAGGAATTCCTTCTTTTTTCCTTTACACATTTATGTTCACTGATTTTTGAGATGATTAACTTGTTCTCAATCATCCACCAAGGTGACTCTATTTTGTTATTTTAGAATCTTTATAAACTCATGGACTCATGGGTTTCCATCCCCCTATCATTCGTGAAGCTGAAATTCTGCCCCCGTGACCAGTGGGTCTAGTTGGTTCTGGACCATTTGGCATGGCCACACGGGTTCCAACCTTCCTTGCTCTCTGGTTTGACAAGATACCAAGACTCTGAATCTGCTATTCTTTAAAATCCACTGTTTTCTTTGAGTTGGAAAAGGAATTTCAAGCCCACAGTCTGGATGTAGGGGATATTCATGATTGGCGTGTTTGTCATTGTTTCTAGACCTTTCCAGTGGACAGAGCTAAGCAGTGAAGAAAACCAATTTTAGAAAAACATGAGTACTTTTACTTCCACTTCAAATTCAAGGCTGAAGGGCATGTTACTTAACCTTAAATAGAGCCCATTGGCAGGTTTTGAATTCTCCATCAAGAGTCCTCACTCTTAAGGACACAGGGAATGATGGAATTAGAATACCAAAATGATAGCCTTGTTTTATTCTCTGTCATACAAATAGTTACAGGTAAACACTAATGTTATCACCAATATAATTAATGGATGCAACGAAAAAATTTTTGCTCTCCCCATTTTATTTTTTTTTAAGATTTATCTATGCATACAAGAACTGGGGTGTAAGCAAGAGGGGCCATGGGTGAGAGGGTTCACCAGAGACAGAGTGGGGTTAAGCACTCTGGGGTTTGCAAATATTTTCAAATATTATATACCTAACAGTGCTCCAGTTGGGTGTGATGGTGAAGCATACGGTGAAGGCAGAGCCCAGGTTTGCTCAGGAGTCTCAAGGCACAAACTGGCCGCTGCAGGGCAAAGTCCATTTAACTCACCCTGCTGAGGGGCCCCACATCCTTGTTCTGAGTTGGACCATGTCTGACGGGATACGAGACCCCACACCCCTCTGTACAGAGGACCCCGCTTCTTCCTTCAGCGAATCGTGTGCATTGTTCAGATGAGGATGTTCGAAATTCGCACTGGGCTACATGACACGGTCACTCATCAGCCACATCTGCACCTACAGTCTAGTGGACCCTGTATCAGCTCCCCCCTCCCTCCAGGAAGGACGGACACCCCAGCGACAGGGGGTGTGGGGAGCACTCAGCCCTCAGCTGACAGGCCTCTCTGGGAATGGCCTCAGCTGAAAAGAATCCCCTTGACCAAAGTCGCACCTCCTCTCTGGGCGGCCCACACCCCTGATTGGTCAGTGGGGCTTTAAAAGCCCATGTCCTCACCCCAGAAAGCCCAGTTGCTGCCTGTGCCCCTCCGGGTTGTGGGTGCTGAGAGCTCTCCCCATCTACTCCCTGCTGCTGACCTTCACCTAGAGGCCGCTTCCCGGGGTGCTGGAGCCGTGGCCTGGGCACCAGAACTGGGCCCCAGCAAGTGGGCGCTGCATGGGGTTCTGGAGTTGGACCCCAAGTGCTGGCTGGCAATGAGGACCCTTCCCCGTGGCCGGGGGAGGCACCATCACAAGGTGAGAGTGAAGGTGGTGAGACTCCACCCGACGACCCAAGGCGTCTGGTTGGAAGAGAATTCATTAGTGGATGCCCTATGCCCCCAGTCTGAGAACCATGGGGGGAGGGAGCCTGGATAAGGGTGGTGACATGGGGGGCTGCTGCTGAGCAGTGAAGGTCTGGGAAAGAGGAGCAAGCCAGGGCGCCCTTCACAGGCATTTTAAGCTGATGTGGAAGCCGGAGAGCCTGCTTGGGACCAGGCAGAGGGGAAACTGAGGCAGGCAGGTTTACTCACAGAGAAGCCAAGCTCCGAAGGTGACACTCTACTGAGACGGGTCCGCTCTCCCGCGGTCAGGCCTGGTTAGGAGGGGTGGAGGCAGGCGCAGCTCCCTCTTGCCATGACCGTGTGGGGACGCAGACTGAGCTTGTCCCCCTTATCCACAGGGGTATGTCCACGGCCTCCAGGGGAAGCTGAAAAGCCGCATGTTGGTGAACCTCCTAGAAGAGGTACCCCTGTCCCTCCCAAGGAAGCTGCAGGACTAGCCAGCAGGCTGCGGACCAGGTAAGCGTCTGTGCCTGGAGGCCGTCGTCTGATGGAGGGGGAAACAGGACAGAGGACGCCGGGGCGTTAAGGATTTTGGGGCCGGGTCAGAGTGGCTTCCAGAAGCTGGGAGACCATCAAGGGGCTCCCCTCAGAGGGCAAAAGGCGGGGCCTGTGCGGGGTAATGAGACTCAGGTGGGCTCCATGAGCAGGGCACTGTGGGAGGCAGGCGCCTGGGGGCGGAGCCAGGAGCACGGACTCCAGGGCACGGGAATGCTGAGCAGGAGGCGCCTCTCCTGAGGCCTGGAGGGTGGGAGAAGCTGCAGGGGGGGCCAAAAGGGCACCAGGTGGACGCAGGTACCAGCAGGAGGTGCGGGACCTGCAGAGTGAGACTTGGTTCCTGGGGCCTGACAGCCCTAAAGCGGAATAGAGGTGCTTCTCAGAGACCCCAATCTGTGCCATGCCAGGAAATGGGCTGCTCCCAGCTGTATTCTCTTGGCACCCAAATCAGCATCAGACTGGTCCTCCAATGCTGGCCCCTGCTGTCTGCCATGCTCACACGGGCCCCTCCTGATCCCCGGGCTAGGAGCTCATGGCCGCCATTGACACACCTGTTGACTGGACCATCTTTAACTAGATCATGGGTCTTAAGGGTGCATTTCCCTTTAATATCCCATAAAGCCGAGGCTCTGCTCCCAGGCTGGGGCTCTCTAACACCAGGAGCTAGTTAGCAGATAAAATGTCAGCCCCACCCTTGATCTACAGATTCAGAAACCAAAGATGAGGCCCAGCATGTTTGTAAACAGCTTCCAGGTGACTCTGATGCAGCTTATTAAAAGCCCCTCAGCTTTGAATGCAGTGGCTTGTTAAGGGCGAAGAGGCCCAGCCTCCCCCTGGTGGAGGGACAGGGGAGGGACACTAAAGGAAGAGAGAGCATTTAATTTATGCCTGGTGGGGTGCAGTATTAGCCCACGATAGCTACTTAGTGGCTGGGGGTGCAGACCAGCTGTGCCCCAGCCTCCTCTGGACACTGCTCCCAGGTAGGACAAATAGCTCTGCCATGGAACATGCTGGAAGGCAGGGCAGGGGTTAGTTTAGACTTCAGGTCAACACATGAGGTGTATGTACATCCTTGCTCCCAGTCCCCCACCTTCCTCTCCCTGTCCACAGAAAATCTGGGTGCCTCCCAGAGAGCCCAGTCTGGTCTCCTGGGGCGCTGGCATCCCACACTCCAGGTGTGTCCTAGGGCTGGAAAATGAACTCGGAGCAGACAGTAAACAGTGTGTGTGCAGTGTCCTGCCCTGTCCCCCAACCCCCAGCCCTGGTCACTTTGAGGCACCTTCTCAAGTTCTTTATCACTGATCCATTGTTGTTAGATTTCTTTCTTTCTTGCCCTTTCTTTCCTCTTTTCTAGTTTTTTTTTTTTTCTTTTTGGCTTTTTTCAGTTTATTATAAGAAGGGTTGACACTAATCCCAGTTAAAAGCAGACCCCAAAGCCTTACGTTCCAGGCCCCAACCCAAAAGAATGGGCGCTTTGCCCTCTAGAGAAAGAATTCCCCAGAGAGCACTGGGTGTAGTTCAACCAGCTGAGTCTTCATCAGAGACCAAGACGTGAAGGAAGCGATGCTAGGAGACTCTAGCCTGGCTCCCCGAAGGAATCAGGAGACATTTCGAGGGTGTATTTGCAAGCTGCGAGGTGGCGGGCAGAGGAGAGCCGCTCACAGTTTGTTCTGGGTTGGGCTATGCCCAGGCATGCGCAGATGAGTGAGTCTGCATGGGGGCTCCTGGCCTTCAGGAAATTGCCAGAAGGCCATTAGCCAGGATCCCACACATCCATCTAGTATGGGGCCTGGCGGCCTGTGTGGTGGGCCAGGGTCCGTCTTCTGTTCAGACAGGACTTGGGGCAGCTCTTCTACAGACTCAGTTACACTAAATAAGCTGGGAGGGTTTTCAACGTGTGACAAGGGACACAAGGGAAATTCTCCCCCTTGCAGGGAAACCCTCACTTAAGTTTCAGTGAGCCAAAAGCTTTTAAAGCACTGAACTTTCGATGGTCGTCCTTGGCCAGTTGCCTCCCAGCCGATGACCCGATGTGTGGTATTTTCACGATTCGTCCAGTTCAACACATTTGCT